TACCATTCAAGATGGTGTTATCATACTTCACATGTTGATACATACTGGTGAGAGCTATTCAACTGCATCAACAATTTTGACCTTGACCTTTTATTTGACCTTGACCTTGACCTCACTTTTATCAAATTGTGTTGAAGTCAGTTTTAATTAAAGACATCATTTCTAGATATTTTTATTAAATTTCATATGTTGATACATATAGATGAGAGATTTTATTAAACTTCATATGTTGAAACATTTTGATGAGAGATATGCAACTGCATCAACGTTTTTGACCTTGACCCTTGCTTTGACCTTTGACCTCACTTTTCCTAAATCAGTGTCAAACTTCATATGCTGATACATACTGATGTAAGCAATTCAACTGCGTCAACAATTTTGACCTTGACCTCTATTTGACATTGACCACACATTTATGAAATTGTGTTTAAGTCAGTTTTAATTAAAGACATCTTTTCTAGATATTTTTATCAAACTTTATATGTTGATGCATATTGATCAGACATGTGCAACTACTTCAATAGTTTTGACCTTGACCTTTGCTTTGACATTGACATCACTTTTTAGCTCTACTGGTCAGATACCAGAAGAGCTTATGCTATAGTAAGGTGTCCGTCGTCCTTCCGTCTGTCTGTCTAGCTGTCCATCTGTCTGTAAACAATTTTTCAAAACGCTACTCCTCCTATAGTTTTGGTCTGATTTAAATATAACTTGGCAGACAAGTAGACTACACTAAGATACATAAAATAGTGCATTGGTTTTTGATTTCGTTGAACGATGTTGCCATGGTTACTAAAAATAGAAATTTCTGTGAAATTCCTATAAAACGCTACTCCTCCTACAGTTTTGGTCTGATTTCAATATAACTTGACATACAGTTCTACAATAAGATACATAAAATAGTGCATCAGTTTTTGATTTCAATGAACGATGTTGCCATGGTTACTAAAAATAGAAATTTCTGTGAAATTCCTATAAAACGCTACTCCTCCTACAGTTTTGGTCTGATTTCAATATAACTTGACATACAAGTAGACTACACTAAGATACATAAAATAGTGCATCGGTTTTTAGCTCACCTCAACGAAGTTGGGGGGAGCTTATGTGATACCCTCGGCGTCGGCGTCGGTGTCGGCGTCCCAGGTTATGGTTAAGTTTTTTTGGGCAGTTTTCTTTTTAAGTACTTCTATGTCCTATATTGATTAGACATGCATGGAAGATGCTTCTAGTGTCTTTCATTGTACCAGTCCAAGATTCAGATGCTGCAGTTTAAACAAAGAAATGACCAGATTAATGTTTTTTGGAGCAGGTTAACATTTTTGGTGCAGTTTTTGGTGTAGGTTTCATTTCCAAGTAACTTTAAGCCCTATGTTGACCAAACTTGCATGGATGATACATCTAAGGATGCATACTACTGGGCTTGCTTAAGATGCTGAATCTGACCTACATTTTCTGGTTGAGTGAACAGGTTAAAGTTTTTGGTGCTTGCAGGTTTCATTTCCAATTAACTATAAGTCTTATGTTGACCAAACTTGCATGGATGATACATCTAAGGATGCATACTACCAGGCTTGCTTCGGATGCTGAATCTGACCTACATTTTCCGGTTGAGTGAACAGGTTAAAGATTTTGGTGCAGGTTTCATTTCCAAGTATCTATAAGTCCTATTTTGACCAAACTTGCATGGATGATACATCTAAGGATGGATACTACCAGGCTTGCTTCAGATGCTGAATCTTACCTACATTTTCCGGTTGAGTGAACAGGTTAAAGTTTTTGGTTCAGGTTTCATTTCTAAGTAACTATTAGTCCTATGTTGACCAAACTTGCATGGATGGTACATCTAAGGATGCATACTACCAGGCTTGCTTTGGATGCTGAATCTTACCTACATTTTCCGGTTGAGTGAACAGGTTAATGTTTTTGGTGCAGGTTTCATTTCCAAGAAACTATAAGCCCTATGTAGACCAAACTTGCATGGATGATACATCTAAGGATGCATACTACCGGGCTTGCTTCGGATGCTGAATCTTACCTACATTTTCTTGTTGAGTGAACAGGTTAAAGTTTTTGGTGCAGGTTTTATTTCCAAGTAACTATAAGCCCTATGTTGACCAAACTTGCATGGATGATACATCTAAGGATGCATACTACCAGGCTTGCTTCAGATGCTGAATCTGACCTACATTTTCTGGTTGAGTGAACAGGTTCATTTTTTTTGTGCATGTTTCATTTGCAAGTAACTTTAAGCCCTATGTTGACCAAACTTGCATGGATGATACATCTAAGGATGCACACTACCGGGCTTGCTTTGGATGCTGAATCTGACCTACATTTTCCGGTTGAGTGATCAGGTTAATGTTTTTGGTGCAGGTTTTATTTGCAAGTAACTATAAGCCCTATGTTGACCAAACTTGCATGGATGATACATCTAAGGATGCATACTACCAGGCTTGCTTCGGATGCTGAATCTTACCTACATTTTCTTGTTGAGTGAACAGGTTAATGTTTTTGGTGCAGGTTTTATTTCCAAGTAACTATAAGCCCTATGTTGACCAAACTTGCATGGATGATACATCTAAGGATGCATACTACCAGGCATGCTTCAGATGCTGAATCTGACCTACATTTTCTGGTTGAGTGAACAGGTTAATGTTTTTTGTGCATGTTTCATTTGCAAGTAACTTTAAGCCCTATGTTGACCAATCTTGCATGGATGATACATCTAAGGATGCACACTACCAGGCTTGCTTCGGATGCTGAATCTGACCTACATTTTCCGGTTGAGTGATCAGGTTAAAGTTTTTGATGCAGGTTTCATTTTTAAATAACTATGAGTTCTTTAATGACCAATCTTGCATGGATGATACATCTAAGGATGCATACTACCAGGCTTGATTCGGATGCTGAATTTGACCTACATTTTCCGGTTGAGTGAACAGGTTAAAGATTTTGGTGCAGATTTCATTTCCAAGTATCTATAAGTCCTATGTTGACCAAACTTGCATGGATGATACATCTAAGGATGGATACTACCAGACTTGCTTCAGATGCTGAATTCGACATACCTACATTTTTCAAATAATAGACCAGGTAAAAGTTATGGTCGCAGTTCTATTTCCAAGAAACTATAAGGCTTATATAACATTGTATAAACCAAACTTGCACAAATGTTGCATCAAGAGATGAAAACTCTCAAATTTGCTTCAGATGCTGGATTTTGATTACATTTTCATGAAGAAGAACTAGTTTAAATTTTTTATGTAGGTCTATTTCAAAGTATCAGATCAAAATTGCTTAAATATTTTCATTTTTGGAATGTACACTTTTTGTTGGTTTATTGTGTGACTTTGACTTACTTAAAGACAACATTCGTTGAGGTGAGCTCTGTAATCTCTGATTACCTATGTTTGATTTGAATGATCGATGTTGCCATGGTTACTAAAAATAGAAATTTCTGTGAAATTCCTTTAAAACGCTACTCCTCCTACAGTTTTGGTCTGATTTCAATATAACTTGGCATACAAGTAGACTACACTAGACTACACTAAAATACATAAACTAGTGCAATGGTTTTTGATTTCGATGAACGGTGTTGCCATGGTTACTACACTTAGAAATTTCTGTGAAATTCATTTAAACATGTTAAAAAGCTACTGCTCCTACTGGTTTGGTCTGATGACAATGGCTTCTTTTCTCATTCTTTGTTATAAGTACAAACCAGTAGAGCTACAGTCTCGACAGAGACTTCTGGTCTTAAATTAGTGTCAAACATCATAAGCTGATAGATATTGAGGTAAGCATTTCAAGTGTATCTTTTTTACCTTGACCTTTCATTTGACCTTGAGCTCACTTTTATCCATTTGTGTTTCAGTCAGTTTAAAGAAACCATTAATAATATTTTTTCAACTTCATATGCTGATATTTACTGATAAGACTTACTTTTCAACTGAATCAACAGTTTTTGACCTTGGCATTTCCTTTGACCTTGATGTCACTTTAACGAAATTAGTGTCAAACTTCATATGCTGATACATACTAATGTGAGCAATTCAACTGCATCACTATTCAAGATATTCTGATCAAATTTTATACACTCATATAAATTTTCATGTTGCTTTACTACTATATCCTCGGCGGGGCATTCATGTCCTATGGACATATTTCTAGTTTAAAAAATTGTTTTCTATAGAATAGCAAAGCCATGGTTTACTAGTGATATTTATATGGAAGCATCCTCAGATAGTGTAGAATTAAATTTCTTCAAATCATAACCTCCAAGGGTAAAGAAGGGCCTCATTGGTGAATCAAAGTTTTACATAGGAAAATAGATGGAAAATCCCAAAAATAGAAAAGCTATGTTTAGTCATATTGACATTTAAGCATCCTCATCCATTGAATATTTAAATTTGTTCAAATCATGAGTACCCTTTGGTGTAGGGAGGGAAGCAATGGGGAGTCAAATTCAATTATTACAAAGTCATATATACAAACAAAATGTTAAAAAAAAATTATAAAAATCTTTTTTCTTAAGAAGTTATATGCAGTGTTGATATGGAGGCATTCTCATTTAGTATTAGAATTCAAGCCTTCTCACGAACCCCCCCCCTCCCTTCCTCAGTAAACTTTTCAGTTCTGATCTGATTAATGTGCATTTTCCTAGCTGATGTGCTCAGGTGAGCGATGTGGCCCCTGGGCCTCTTGTTTGGATGCAGGACATTGGTGGCAAGGATTGCCATCTGACTTTTGTGACATCATAAAGTTGATTGTTTCTTCATGGAATTTTTGCATGTCAGACAATCACACTAATTGCAGCACATTTCATTGGAAATGAGACATTGGACTCTGGCATGACCATCTGATATAGACGTTCGTATCGACATTTACCATCAGGTTTTGGTGCAGACCCATTGGACTTTGGTGAGACCATTAGACTTTGGCATCACCATCAGACTTTGGAGTCTTACACATAATTATAAATGTCATTTTATTTTTCATAGAAAGTTCCAGTATTTGTCACAACAAGGATTCTGTGAGAACAATGCTTAGAGTTGTACATTACCTCAGACAACAACCAAGAAATCAACACGGGTAAGTGCTTAACAACGTTTGATCCTGATATTTAAAGTCTTAATTTTTTGCCAAGTATATTTTTAGTTTCTACATACATAGCTTAATTAAAATTCAAATCAAAAAATGGGGGTCAATATGCTTCTTTGGCCGCTAAGGTACATTTAATATGACTTTTTGCACTGAAATTTGTGTCTTAAGTAAAAATTACATCTTCGACATTTTCCCTCCAATATTTTTATCCAATTAGTACATGAAACAAAATGAACTCTAAGTCTATTTAAAAAAAGACAATTTAAAATCATGACCAAGAAAGTGTTTCCATTTGCTTCGCATAATCAATTACTTGACCTTTCTACACTAATAAAATGTGATTTTTCTGGCATTGAAAATTCAGTAAGCAAGAAAATTATTTTAAAGTCTTAAACTTTTCCTGAATTTAAGCAAATAGGTCATAGGTATCTTAAATATTTAGAAAATAACATCAAAAGTGCGGGTATATGATATAAATTTTCAGATATTACTAAAAATGTGTCAATTTTACGTTAAAATTGGCTCAATTTTTCCCAGATTTTCAGAATATATTGACTATAGATGGGTGCGTTCACAGTTCTACCATTAGTACCAACTTTCAATATACCATTGGTACAATAATTTGACAATGGTACCAACTGTACCAATAAACCCTGAACGGGTATTGGCATACAAATGTAACAATTTTACCAATGTTACCAATGGGAGTCCAATGGAGACATTGGTAATACTGAATTATAGATTTCTTTGTCTTCTAAGTTATTGGCACATGCCAGAATCGCAAGAAAATCATAGCAGACTCATATCCGACAAGCAAACCACATTAGGATCACACTTCTTTAGTTGCCATATCTATGAGTTTTATATAATCCATTTAATGGATCATGTCTAAATCATACTTCAAAATCATGAATATAAGTGTTTGATATGATTTTTATGTGATTTTGGCATGATTTGTTAAAAAGGATTAGAGGAAAAATCGTTTATATCATTGTAAATCCGGGATCCCAGTCTTTCTAGCTTGTTGCCATGTCGATAACTAGCTGTGACGTCATTTACCAACACTAACCACACTCTAGACTGTCTGCAGAAAAATATACCATTGGCAAAAAACATTGGTACCAGTGGCATGCCAATGGTAATTAATTTTACCAACGGCAACTTTTGTCTACCAACGGCAGAACTGTGAACGCACCCGATGTCACACTTCATTGAAAGAATTCATAAGAAATAACTAAAAGATATTTCTGAACCAGCATAACACATTTCACTGCAAAAACAGCTTTGTGTGCAACCAGCATGGAAAAATAGGAATCTAAAATTAACAGTACTGTTATAGTTCAAAAGGGAAAAACTGATCTCTTTCTTTTAAAAAAAAAAAAAAATTCCACCACAAAATATAGTCCTTAGCTTAATTCCACTTGAATGGAATTTAAATGTTGTTTTTCATTGAATAATTAGTTCAGTTTGCATCATAGAATTCAGATTTAATGTTAGATCTTAAAATTGATGCAGAATTTTATAAATAAAGGACAGGACCAAAATCCCCTCAAAAGCTCAGGATTGCAAGCCCTTAAGGTAGTCTGATCCTTGGGTTCTGAAAACAGGCATTGAAGAATTGAAAATGCTGATAAAAATGTCTGAATTCTCAAAGTAATGTGTTTTACTAAGTAAGTATAATCTTCACTCATTATTTGACAGACTACACCTCAAATAATACAACACTTAAGCTGTAAGCCAGGCTAGCTTAGTGGCCCACAGCTAGCTGGCATTTATTTAACAACATCCATAAAAAACAGGCATACTTTAATGTGTATGTGATCAATGAAGTATTGCAATGTTTTTGTTAACAATATGTGACATGCTATGCATTATACCCCCTATCAAAGACACTAAAAACCGCCCAGGAAAAAAACCATAGGTGAGTAACTATGGAAAACCTGTGTCCGTCGCTATGTAAATATGTCTCAAGGGAGAATGTCGGACATACATTCAGTGCAGTGCTTGGTATGCATAAAACCATAGATGTGCATGTACAATAAAGAAAAATCAAAATATATGACAATATTGTTGTTACTATTATATATGTGACGCGCCAAGCAAAAACCTCCCTTAACGAAGAATTTTGACATTTTCAGATTTTTATTGATTCTTGTAGAGTTTTTCTTTCTCTTTCGTTTGATGTATAACATGTCATATATTTCTGTGTATAAATGTATAAAATATCGCATGACAAAGACGGAAAATTATGGAACGCCATCACTGCCTTATAGCATACAACTATGCATTTATTATGTCAATTTACAATTACGTGATGTGAACATATCTTTACGTTATGTCATTTTTTATGAGATTATGTGAAAATATCTTAACATCATGTCAATGCTGCATTACATGAAGTAAATGCATTCTTTTATTATGTCAGCACTTCATAACTTGAAGTAAAAAATCCATTATGTGAAGTGGTTATGTGTTTACATTGTGTTAAAACTTTATTACGTGAAATGAATGCTTCTTTACATCATTTCATTTCTTTAATATGCGAGGTCAAAATTGCATTATGTCAAGCAAATTGTGTTTTATAATTAATCTTATCATTACATGAAGTCAAAAGTCCATTCCTTTTTGAGAGTGTATATTTCTATTATATCAAAACATTATTACGTGATATGCATTTATCGTTATTTTAAGTCGGAAGCATCATGATGTGATGTGAACACATCTTACCTTTATGTCAGTGCTTTATTACATGGTGTAAAAACTGTATAAAATAATGTGAACATATCTTTATATTATATCAACACTTTATTACATTATGTCAAAACTCCATTCCGTGATGTGGATATATAATTACGTTATGTCAACCTTTTCTTATGTGATTTAAAATATCTTTATATTGTGTTAATTCTTCATCATGTTGATTCCAAAAGTTCATTACCTGATGTAAAAATATATTTTCATTATCTCAAAGCTGTATATCTGGTATATAATGAATGTTGACGACCGTGTTTTAATGACTGGTAAGAAGGGGGGGGGGGGTGCTTCTCATTGATTAGGACGAATTTCAGGCACATAATATCAACCCCCCCTCTTTTTTCATATATAATTTTACTATAGAAAATGTAATGTTCATGGAAAGCACAGCCCCATCCCCACTTTTTCTTGAAGCATAGTCCACTAAGGGTAATGTAGTATATTTGAAAAAAAAAATTAAGGAATTAGTAAATTTTTCGAACATTCCAGTGCCAGAATTCTATTACAAAAATCTATATACCAGTCTAAATCAGTTGAATATGCCTTAGAAAGCATGCATGGGCACATATCAGTGGCGGATATGGGAATCTTGAACAAGGATGGGGGACGGTATATGGTTGGAGACCAGGGGGGGGAGGGGGGGGGGCTCCTAGGCTTTATAGTTTTATAGAAAAAAAGTTTTCAACTTAATTCAGTTAATCTTATGCAATGTCCTACTAATTAAAACCAATAAATTTATTAATCTTATGTATATTTTGGTCACTAAAGATGGAAGGACAGGATTCTTGCCCCCAACCCCAAACCCACCGTTGCACGTTTGTTATACGGTGTGTTAACACTTTAATAAAAAGGAGAGGTAGAGACTGATAAAAAAAAAAACATATGACAATGTTCCTAATAAGATAAGAAGTTTAAGACTTCTATAAAAAAAAAAAAAAAAAAACAATTCAAAATGAAAATAAAAAAATGCTGCTCAACTCATAATATTTGATTTATTTAATTATCAGATTTAAGTAAACGCCATTGAAATTCGAATCTGACTTTAATTCACAGTTACAGTGTGAAGGCATTGAGCTGCACGTTTCAAGATTGTCAATCATTTGTCGCTTTTCGTTTTCATTTAATATGCCATTCCCAAATCGCCGAGAATTTCTTCTACGACTGTTTTCTCTCCCGCCATTTTTAGTGCTTGCGGAACGCGGAAAATACGTCATGCTCATATAAAGGCCGAGGATACCCGTGTTCGCATAACGTAATAGTGAATCGACATAATGTAGAAGAGTGCGCACAGTATAATATGAGCTTTCCACATCTGATCAATACGAAATAGCCTAAGATACATGTATGCTGACAAGAGGCTGAGCATTTTTGACACAATGTAAAGACACAATGACATAACGTCATAACGATTTGTCAAAAAGAAAGGGCAAATTCACATCACGAAATTGATTCACGTCGTCATGTAGCATATTGATGACATAATGTAGTAAAAGAATTGACCATATGTGACAATTTTTTGACATCATATAATGAAATTCTGACATTGTATTATAGGGACTTGATATCAAATTAAAATAAATTCACATCAGGTAATGAACTACTTAGACCAAATAGTAGAGAGTGCACATAATGTAATACTGAGTTGAAATTATATAAATGTATCTTAACACCACGTAAAAATCTTTTGACATAATTTCACAAAGAGCTGATATAATGCAATGAAAGATTGCCGCAATATAATTGAAGTGTTAGTAAATGTCATAAAAAAGTTAACATAATGTAAAAGAAAGTTGAGATAATGCAATAGTAGTGTGTGTAAATGACATAAAGAGTTGACATAATGTAATGGAAGGTTTAGACAGTGCAATAGTAGTGTGGGTTAATGTCATAAAGAGTTGACATAATGTAATGGAAGGTTGAGACAATGCAATAGTAGTGTGGGTTAATGCCATAAAGAGTTGACGTAATGTAATGGAAAGTTGAGACAATGCAATAATAGTGTGGGTTAATGTCATAAAGAGTTGACCTAATGTAAAGGAAAGTTGACACAATGCAATAGCAGTGCGAGTAAATGTCATAAAGAGTTGACATAATGTAATGGAACGTTGACACAATGTAATCGCAGTGTTCTGCTATAAGGCAGTGATGGCGTTCCATAGAAAATTTACTTTGACGTATAGTGTACACGTGCATAACTTCATGAATTTTCATAATGTAAAATCGTAAAATGACGT